GTGGGGCTTTCATGATAGACTTCTTACACTAAGAGAAGCATTGCATAATACTTTAGCCAAAGGAGAATATAGACATGCTTTATTTAGAAGATGGAAGTGGCGTCAAATAGGCTTAAATGCAGCTTCAGGATTGTCTTATACAGAAACAGAATGGTTAACAGAATGGCAAACTATTGTAGATATGGCTTCTCCTATTTTTAGAAATCAAACTGCTACTTCTTATCAAAGTCTTGAAGAAGTATATAAAATTTTTTGCATTTTTTTCTTAAATACTAAAATTTTCATCAAATATTTATAATGTTAAAACTTTATAGGTACATGTATTAACTTTGGCTCATGCTTTAAAAAGACCTATAATAGTTATAGCAGAAACTATGTTAAAAGATGCAGAAGGTGTAGCTTTAGCTCCAATTCCATTTGGTGGAGTGTATCTACCATTAGAAGTATCTCCATCACGTTGTCATAGAACGCCATTGCTTTTAGCATATCATTCAGCTCATTTTTCTCCTCTTGTTACTGTGGATGGAGCGAGTGATTTTGGAGATGTTTCTAATGAAGGTGTTAGCATACCTCTTATAGATCCAGATACAGGTCAATTATTACCAGTTTTATTCGCGGTAGATCCAGGACCTGACTGGGATTGGGAAGAAGGTTTTCAAGATTTATTAACTTGTCAACAAGATACGGTAATTAATTCTTAGTAACATAAATTATAGATATAATGCATAAAATATAATTTCATATTGGTATTTTAAATTCAATATTGGTATTTTAGATGGAAATTTTGTTACGACAATATTTAGACTGTGAATATCAAAATTTTACATCGGAAGAAATCGAAAGATTATCCGATACTGATGGTTCATTATCTAAAACAGCGAAACAATTGCTTGGTGTTGCTAAACAATTTGGATCAATTGGAAAATCTGTTAGTAAAAGATTGTGGTCTATGACAAAGAGACCAAAGAATTTACCAACAACGGCAGGTGGATTTTCTACAGAAGGTTTATTATGTGTAAAGATTAGAAGTAGACGTCATCAGTACGTGGATCAGATGCTTCAGAATTATCTTCAATGTGCACATGCAAGGTATAATAAGGTTTTATACTATATATCATTTATGATTAAAATATGATTTTTTTTTTTTCATTATATAATATAGGTATTTGCAAGATCATAAAGTCGACGAAACTAGTAGTGAAATGAATTATGGTGCAGGCAAATCCAAATTCTATGCTGCCAGTGATCGAGATAGTCATGCAAGCGTTAGTAAATTGTTACCGACCAATCCAAATAAAGATCGTACGCTTTATCTTTCAAGGTATTTTCTACATAATACAATTTAGAAGAATTATCATATTAACTCTATTATAATAAAAATAAAATATTTTTTTTACAGATCTACTTTTTATAATGATCAACCATCATCTTATAAACCAGGGCCAGAACTATGGAATAGCAACAATAGTTTGGTATGCTTTTAAATATTCATTATAATTATGGAATTTAAATAATTTGAGGTTTTTTTTAGGCTATTGTTAAAGAATGTCGGAATGAAGATTGCCAATTTTTCGGTTCAGCGGAAAATGATTACTATTGTTCACAATGTTGGGCAAATAGACGTTATCGTTGAGAAATTAATTTCAACGATATATGACAATAATAACTGTTTAACATTGTTCAAATTAAATGAAGTATAATCAGATTTAATCATAACATCAATCATTTTAAAATGTTGCTTGAAAAAAATAATTATCTCACAAGATTTTCTTCTTCCTACTATATTATTTATTTTATTTCATTTTTTTATTTCAAATTGGATAATACACTGATTCGTATTTTGTAACAATAAATATATTTTCTTCCTTAAAAGTGCTTGTGCATGGTCTAATATTATCAGTATCATTCAAATTTTTCAATTATATGTATTTTTTTTTCTTTTTATTTATTGATATTCATCTCACTAAAAAGCATATCAAATGTACAGGGTTTATCTCGCTTTTGAACATATATGTACAATAAAAAATATCATTTATACATAGCTTATAAGTCTGAATCTTTCTAAACAAAAAAAAATTATATTTTCAAGTAACAATACATCTGTATTTCCATGACAAGCGAATTTCTGATTTTTGCACGTGCCTTCTTGCATAATATAAAAATTATACAAACATGATGCTAATACTCGATTTTTAATGTTGCGATGAGAAGTTGTTTTCTGTCGTAAATATCTGTGCTTCTAATATACTTGTGCTTTGTACAACTTAACTCGCGCTTCGTTCACTTATTGATCGCTCACTGATTTTATAAGTGAGATTATCTAAAAAAGCGCGGTTTTGATATTAAACTATATGATATAATATTAAACTATATCAAATTGTTCAATGTATTTAATCTTATTGCCTATTAGGCAATTTATTATGTTAAAATTGTGTGAAAATAAAACATATTTTTATATTTCGTGTCTTTTTGATTCTTATGATTATGAAATTTTTTAATTTTCTAAATATCATACTACTAGATTGTTTTTTATTTATTGTAATATTATATAATAATTAATAATTGATAAAAATTATATTATTGCCATTATATAAATTAATCTATGGAGTGATAATGTTAATAGTTTTTCTTTTTTTTTAATATTTATTTCAAATACATATTAAAATTTTTTCTCAAAAAGATAAAAAATTTATCATTCGAGATAATTATTTTTATATATAGATTCTTAATATTGTATTCTATTGATACAAAATCATTAAATTTTCAATTTTTAAATTTCGATCCTTTAGATTAAAATTTCAATTTTTATTATTTTTACAATTTCTAATGCATTAGAAATTGTAATTATTATATTTAGTTAGTTATATTAGTTATTAGTTATATTATTTAGTTTAGTATAATTTTATTTTTTATTATTTTAATTCTTTGGATTGTGTTTTAAATTATGCAGTTGTATTTTTTGTTAATATTATAGAATTTTCAGATTCTTCTACATTAGAGTTTCATAATAGCTTTTATAAATTTAATAAATTTTCAATGCATACTAGCATTGGTAATAATTTTATTAATATGATTTTGATATAATACTTTTTTATAGAAAATATCAAAATGCATTTAATAAATTTGTATATTAAAAAATAATTTCATTTAAAAAAATAAAGTTAGAACTTGCAAAGTTATTTATAAATTTGAATTTATTTCTTTATGTATTTATTTAGTATCTAAAAATTAGTAATATAATAATTTTTTTACAATAACCCCTTAAAACTTTCATCTGAAACATTTCTTAATAATAGAAAAAACAAACAAAGTATTTCATAAATATTATAATTAATTGTGAGATACTTTATACATTTTTATAAATCTAGTTCTTTATAGTTTCTTAATTCCTTAGAATTAAAATGTCCAAAAATGATTATTCTTGATATATACGGAAAAGAATTAAAAAAAAATAAAAAGTATAAAGTATAAAGTAAAAGTATAAATATGTTAAATTCCAGAATTATATTATTTTAATAATATTTATTAAAATAATATTATTTTAATAATATTAATTTAATAAAAACATAAAATTGAATAAAAATTTGTGGAAATTCAGAATTTTTGAAAAAATTTCGTGCATCATCTCTTGTCCAATTATATTTTCCCAAAATTTAAATAAAAAATTTTTTCAGTTAAAAATTTCAGTTTTGTATCAGGAGAATATAATTCGATGACATAACACATCAAATTTTTTCAAATCAAAAATTTTTAGCTAAATTTTTGACTTTATATCAGTAAAATATGATTAAATTGCCATGCGAAATTTTTGTAAAATTTTGTAAACTTATCTTTTGCATACTTATTTTTTACATATTTATTTATCTTTATAATTGCTTATTTTTGGATTTTTAATTCTAGAGATTTTATATTTGTAATTTATTTATCTCTAAAGATTATTATCTTTTGTATATTTATTTCTTTACTCTGATACATTGATAAGAATTCTTTTTTTTTATTTTTTATTATCTTTTTACTTTACTAATGCTAATTATAAAATATAATATGCATTCTATTCTAAGTTTTTTTTACTTTACTTTTTACACTTACTTTTTTAAAATATGAAGCTGCAAAAATATAAATATATCTAGACATAAAGATGATATGTACAAACATAAAATGTATGTATACTACATATATTTAACTTATAATGCATCTCTTTGAAAAGTGTTCAAACTTGTTTCATTCTATTACCCGTAACATTGTTATAATTTTTAAGTAATAATGGATTTTTTAGAAAATTTTTAAAATATTAAAACTTTTATTATCGGTAAATTATATGTAAAGATATTTCAATGTTTTTTAAAGAGATAATGCTAAAGATTTGTAAGAAATTTACTATGAATAGTATGAATTTCACTTTTCAAAGAAATAGCGTAAAAAAAAAACAACTTTTATAAAAACACATTAAACATATTTTTTATTTATCTTAAATTATTATTATATTTAAAAAAAATTTTTTTTGAATTAAAAATAAAAATTGGATTTTATATTATTGAAACTATAATATTTGAGTTAATTATTAGAATATACAATTAGTTATTAGATTACATTATGCTTTATTTGCTTTCTTAAATATATATTTGAATTTTATTAGTACAATCTGTTTTATATCTAGTCTATGGTTTTAGAAACAAAAAATGAATAATGCTTTAGAGAAAATATATACAACATCTGTCAAAATAACAGACTCAGAAAATTAATACAAATAAAATTATCATGAGATTGATATATAATATTCGATTTGCCACCTTATGGAAAAAATGTATATACAATAATCCAATAAACACGTGTTACTTGTATACGTAGTATACTTCATATGTAATAAGAACAGTACGGTTTTACAAATAGTTTCAACTATATTTGTGTAGATTTTATCGTGCTGAAATTTTTATTCACTTTCTACATGAATCACGTAAGCTGACGAAAAAGAAGAAATCCATGAAACAGTATACATCGAAATGATTGAGTTATGTACAAAAAAACGAATGTTAATTGGTATAACATTATTAGGAGGGTTAGTTTTATCTTATATTTTGTTTATATATTGCAGTTACTATAAATATTAACACGTGTTGCTTAATATATATATTTAGCTTCTTTTATATTTTATTAATTTCTTTTAGATTAACAATATTGGTATTAATTGTTGAAAGTCATTGGACTGATAATTCTAATAAACTTTATTTGGAGAATTTTGAAAATAATACAAGATGTATTTCCGGAGATGAATATGAAATAACATCAGAATGTCATCCATGTTCTGCTTTTGAAATAGCAAGTAAAAGTATCGATGTGTGTATTCATGCCAGATACAAGGAAGTTTTAAAATGTAAAAGTGGAGAAGCTATAACAAGAAGGTAAATTGTATTCAATTTTATATTATATTATATTATATTACATGATATACAAAGAATAAAAACAATTTTATAATAAAAAATAAATATATATAATTCAGTTGTGACAGGGTAGCTTGGTTAGAAGAAAGAGCATTTTGGAAGTTTGAAGCATTTATGTTTCTTTTGGCATTAAGTTCATGTATTAGTGTTTATTGGAGAGAAAATGTGCTGAGACAAAGGATAATAAGAAAAGTGGCTAGACAATTAAGAGCTAGTGTATAACTAGTATTTAATAAATAGCTTTTTTTATTTTTTTTATTCATGTTATGAACTTTGAGATAATTCAAAAAAATGAATGAAGCTTATTTGGAAGTATATTCTTTGAAAGAATTATGTCTAGCCCCTATAGAAACAATAATAACATTGTTTACTGTAAAATATTGTGAATCTAAAATTAGTATTAAGCTTGTACCAAGTAAACAAAAACTTCTTGAACGAGCATACACTATAGATATTTCCACTTTTGTATATGAAATAATAGACTTAAATAAAATTCCATATCCTGCAATTTCATGTGAATTGCCAATTATCGTTATAAATAAAGCTAGTTGCATCGCAGGTCTTTGCGCGATATTGCGACAAATAATTAAGGACGTCGCGACAGAATGCCCAACACATTATTGTCGGAAATTGTTAGGATTCAAAGATTCTTGTCTAACTGCTTGTTCAGAAGCAAGTGTTTGGACGAAATTTTGCGAAGTAGATTTAATTCTAACTGTAAAATTTTTACATACAGATGATGCAATGCAAAACAAATTGCCTTCCAGTATGGCAAGATTTGAACGACATTTGTCGCAACCAGTTAGATTACACAATCTATATAAGTATATTATGTCTAAAAAATATTCAAATGAAAATATAATTTCGCAAAATGGAACATTAGAACATACATATGCCGAAGGTTCATACATGACCTTGGCAGATATAATTATATTTGTGTGTACTCATATTTTATTAACTGTATTTTCGAGTGAAACAGTAATGAAATTACTTCCATTGACTGATAAATGGTACAAAAGAATGCTTAAAAATCAAATTATATTCAATTGTCTTGAATGTTTGCCATTGTTAAAAAATCAAGATATAAATAAATTTAATTATACACTTCCTGATGTAGCAAATGAAAGTCTGCATCAAAGATATAAAGCAAAAAATCGAATTTATACAAAGCAAGAAGATGTGGAGCATTCATTGCAATTATTCAAAACCTTAAATATACAAACTAAATTCGATTTGGAACCATTTGGTGCGGAATTAGATCTTGATTGGTCTTTAGTTCCATACGATGCTACCCCAGAGGGTGGTTCTTTGCCACCTTCGCGTTTAGAAAAGAAACACGAGCAATTACAAAATATGTGTAAGCCTGTTATAAAATTGGCAAAAAAAGGAGATATAATTGTAGATTTTTGTTCTGGTAGTGGTCATTTAGGTATCTTAGTTGCGCATCTTTTGCCGTATTGTACTATAATATTATTAGAAAATAAAGAGAAATCGTTGAATAGAGCTAAAGAAAGAGTGAATAAATTAAAATTAACAAATATAAAATTTTATCAATGTAATTTAGACTATTTTAAAGGTCACTTCGACATTGGTATGTCATTACATGCATGTGGAGTCGCAACTGATTTAGTCATAAAACAATGCATCAAAGAAAAAGCTATCTTCGTATGTTGTCCTTGCTGTTATGGATCATTGCATAATTGTGATCATTTGAAATATCCAAGGAGTAATATTTTTAGGGATGAAATAGATAAGGAAAGTTATATAATTCTCAGTCATGCTGCTGATCAAACTCACGATGAAAAAAATATCAAAACAAATCAGGGATACGAATGTATGACTATTATCGATACTGATAGAAAACTACAGGCTGAACAATGTGGTTATAGAGTGTATCTTTCTAAATTCATACCGAACACATGTACACCAAAAAATCATATATTAGTAGGTATTCCTAAAAAAGAAAATGTTGAATCTGTAAGTTAATTGTGTGTTACATATTTACGATTTATATATTTATGATAATTTTGAATACGATTCGATTTGAAACTATTCTTGTTATTAAGATGAACAATTTTCAATAAAGACACGTTTACTTACCTAAAAAATAAAGTGTTTTTTATCAGTCTATTAATGTTATAAATATATTGATTAAGATCATTATATAAATACGAAAATATGAAAAATTAAAGTAATATTTAACTTAAACTATGAACAAAGTATATAATATTGTTGCGCTAGTTTTATTAAATTGTACGAAGAGATTTTATTGGTATGTACAAAAAAAGGAGAAAAGAATTATGTAGTATACAAATTATTAGTGTTATGTCAGTGTCTTACACAGTTTCATCTATTATTAAGTAACTAGGGACAACATGAAATGAAAAAGGTTTTACAGTATGTCAAGGAACTAGGGAATATTTACTTTTTGCTATACTACTACAAGCGCTGAATATATGTTTCCTTTAGACAATATTGAAATTTAAATATTCTTTTGCTTTTATTTTATCGTTTAACATTTTTCAACACTTAATTTTGGTCTTTTAATAAAATGGCTAATGGAGAACGAAGATAGAAGTACCATTTACACATTTCATGTCTTTAAGATTGAGTTTCATGTACTATTTACAATTTCAGTCGTACGAGCACAGATACACTACCACAGAGTAGGTTAGCTGTATCTGGTATTCCTTTCACTTAAGTAGTAAGCTTATGTTTAATCAATTTCACCTACAAAGCTTCGTCCCCGTGTGAAAGATAATACTTAACATCAAGAGATCTTAATAATTGTTATAAGCTAAACTAACTTTGTGGATGTAGCGCAATGCACGTAGAAGTTAATAAACGTACATCAGTACTTTTCTCAAGAAATTTAGTAATGTTAACGAAACAAATCATTGAAACTTAAAATATATCGATCGTAGGAAAAATTATACTATAAATGTTTTAAACATGAATATAATAATGAATAAACAAGCTGTCTAAAGACCTGCTCTAAAATGTTGAACTAATTCGTAAAATACAATCCTCGTAGCTTCATAATAAAGAAGTACTTACAGGAGTAATATTTAAACTTACATAAATCTGCATGTATAAAAAAAAAAAAGAAAAATGAAATCAATTATTCGGTATGCGGTTTTCAATCAAGAAAAACATTCGGAAGTTTCAAACATCATACTTGTCTTCTAAATAAAATTTATGACTACGAAGAATGTTTAACAGGTCTTTTTTGGCAGTTTGTTTTTTTCTCACACATTCGAATTTCTTTTTCAACTTTTAGCTTGTAACATAAATAATCATACGAAACACAGAGAAATTTTATTTTATTTAACGTAAATTATACCGAAGATTTGAAATGCAGGATCAATTGATATACCCATTGATAATTTCAAATACACGACACACGGATAAAGAAGACTTGAGCCAGCCCAATCATTGTACTTTTCATTATGATTAATTTTATCGAACGCTCATCAATGATCACCATAAGGTAAATCAATTGGTCCTTTTACTTTTTATCTAGTTAAAAGATCGACGTGCCAACCACAACACAACAAGCACAGTGCTTCTAACAAAGTACTCATTTTCATACCGTATATTGCTTAAGTTAAAGAGCTTATAAACACGACATTCTCAATAATTTAACATATCTTAAAATTAAAAACATAGAATTTTGGTTTTATTCACCGAGTTAGTTTCTTAAAATATAATTTTTCGATTTTTTTTTTTTGATTCTTTGAATCTTCTTCAAATCTTTTCCGATTACAATGAAATCTCATTTCATTCTTTCCGCGTTACAATAGCTTTCAATTAGAATTTTTAAATAAATCAAAATTAAATTATTTCTCATATTCCCATCAATCAATCTCGAACGATATATAAAAAGAATAATGATAAATGATTATTAACCAAATTTAACGTTGATTCTACCTAAAATATCGCGACAACGAATTATACAATAATCAACGTTATTTTAAACTCTACGTAAACATCTAAACGACGAATAATTTCTTTTTTGACCGTGTATTTGAATTTTAGGTGGCACGTCTGAAAAGAGAGAGCGTCCGGTTTAGAAGCCCGTTAATTTATTAATCTATACAGAACTGATAATAATTAGCGTTTTCGAGTTTATTTAATTGTTTCAGAAAATGGATCACGACTCTCCGTTGCCACTGTCGTCACCGTCTTCGTAATCGCTGGCGCTCATTTGTTCGTCATCATCGTCGTCATCCAGTTCGTACTCGTCATCATAGAAATCCGTCATGTCTAACTGTTGCTCGGCCGGCCTCGCATGAGTTTTAATGCAATAATCTTCCAACGTTACCGGTACGACGATCCCCTCTTTCTCAGCTTCCATCTTCGCTGCTTGTGCCTGTTTTCTGTAATCAACAAATCATATTTTTCTTGCATGTACACGCATTTGTCCAATTTTCTATTTGTATTTTCTCGAAAACACAAATTACTAATTCATTTTACGTATCATAATAAATTTATATTACACGATCGTGATTAAATAATATTTATTATTATCCATATTAATTATTTAAAGGGAGGGGAAAATGTTACGTAGAAAATAAATGAAAAAAAAAAAAATGCGGAATAAATCAATATTATTGTACCTTATGATATTTTCATACTCTTTGTCTTTACCCTTGGAGTCGCGCCAGCGCCTATACATTACGGAGGCATCCACGTTGGCAGGGCTGTACGTATTCGGTTCGTTCAGTAACGATATCACGGACAACAGGATCGTCCTATTCCAAAATCACAATTCGTTTATTATTTTTGGAAATCAATGTTTCACATAGCATGCATTAAAATTATATATATATATATACTGTACTAAATATCAGTTTTCAATATTTAATATTATGCAAAATATAAAATAGTATGCATTATTAAAAAGTTCTTAGAGATGATATATACGAAGTAAGAAGAGTTTCTTGATGCATTGTCACGTGATATAATCTGATTTTTTTCCTAACTGCATTAGGTTCATCAAAAGTAACCAACCAGATCCAGTTTTAAAGGACTTCTTTCGCAATAGTACGTATTTAGAAAATAGTTGTAATGCTCACCTAACATTTTGTGTCGGATTCCACCTTTCGCATGGTAGTTCTCCACTTTGTGGATCATCCACTGGTGGATGCAGAATCGATATACACAGATCTCCATTCTACACAGCATAAATTTTAACGATTAATCTTATTACATTTAATCAATTTTTAATAACCAAAATATAAAAATACCAATAACAAAACGTTCTTCGAGAAAAAAGATGGGAATGTTGAATGCGCAAATATTTCTCAAACGAATTTCAAAAGCAACGATCGACTTTAATAACAGAATTATTTGATCGAAGGAAAGAAGAGGAGAGGAGAGAAGAGGGGGCGAGTTGCACGTTAATCGTCCCTGGAAAGAAGCATCGCTGGAAAGAAGCCCCGACTGAGTCGAAGGACAAAACTCGCAACTTCTTTCGCAGAGTTGAAAATTCTTGTCCAATCCCCTTTATTCGCGCCATATTCGGAGCCCAAGTCACGAACATACGTATACACGTTTGCTGTTTGAGATGCACGCGGACATGCAACGTCTCTGAAGAAAATTTCTTCTCGTTTTCCTTTTCTCCTCGATCGAATATGCCGAATCGAATAAGCAAAGGAAAGAAGAAGTCAGTGGAACCGAGATTCGTACATTCCACGTAACCGATTCTCCAATCGATCGTGTCCGTATCTCAACAACATGGCCGCCGATTCGTTTCGTTTTGAAATTTTCGCGCGGAAGAAAGATCGAATCGGATCGATGCGTTTCTCGAAGCGAAGACTTCGTCGAAACCGTGGACGCTTCTCGCGGAGAGAGCGTGCAACGTTGAATATAAATCTCGTGACGCAAGGAAATGTTTGCTCTCGGAAGTTGAGCAACTCGGCCACGCTTGTCGTTCTTTGTCGATCGAGGCAGTTTCCACGGGGGAGAAGAGGGGAAGGAGGGGGTGGGGAGGCATTATAATCGGATACGAACGAAGATTTACGCGATGCATAGGGCAATTTATCCGTCGAATGAAAAGCTCGTAATGGACGCGGAAACTCGATGGTTAATTAGATTTAATCGGCAGGTTATGGATAGGCGTAACAATGGGTGAAACTACGCGGCGGTGGCCATTGAAAGGAAGTGGTGCGCACAGTTTCTCGTCCGTCACAACCGTTACTACCAGCCGGCAACTAACTTCCGTATCCAACCGGTCGAAACATCTACTAATCTACTTGGTAATCTCGATTAGCATTTACACGGGCGACTTCTAGCGCCGTATGTCTTCGTGGAACGTTCGTCCCGGTTCACTGAAGCGTTTAAACCCGATCGATCGGCATAAGAAACGTAACTACATAAAAGCCAACTCGTGGCAATCTCTTCGCTATATTAAAAGCGCGTATAATAATTTTGCAAAATAATTTTCAAAACTTTCGATGGATCGAATCGAGAATCGAGTCATCGAGGTCATCACTCTTCTCGCAAAAAGAAAAACCGTTTATTTGTTTGCAAATAAACTTTCACCGTCGTTTGTTTTTCGCGCGAGCGAAACCATCGTTTACGTTTGCCAATAGGTACGTATTACGAAGAACAGAATTTTACGATTTCGCGAACCAACACCGACTTTTCCTTTTCGCTCTCACCGCGTGAAAAGTACGAAATGGAAGGGAAAATTTATAGATGTATCGGAGACGGATGGGTGGGGCATTAACGCGCGATAGAGTTTTATAAACGCGAAATAGTAATAGAAGTGGGTCGCCCGGAAATTCGAGCTTGCGAAATCTTTCGATTCGCGGTTGAAGTTGCACGCTGTCGAATGTTGACGCGTCACCGCGATAAGAGCTGAATGTGTACATTTCTTTTCCTACTTTCTATCTCGACTCGAGGCTCGGAACGAGGCAGGGAGCGGGAGGGGAGGGGAG